GCGTCGTGTGAGAACTAGATCCCCGTTTACATTTGTGTGAAGGTCAAGGGTCCTCAACAGTATGAATATTATTATTATTATATACATTTTTTTGGCCGCCCTGTGCAGCATGCGGGATCTTAGTTCCCCAACTAGGGATCGAACAAGAGCACCCTGCAGTGGAAGCGAGGAGTCTTAACCACTGGACCACCAGGGAGGTCACTTAACAGTATTATTTAGTTCACGTTGGTTATCATCTTTTGATGATGTTGACAGCCTCTAGGTAGTTATAAGGAACAAAAAAATCCCTACAGCTACTTGAACGCAGTGGGGAGAGCAATGGAGAAATTGCTAAATGGCGCCATGCTTTCCAGCTGGTATTAAACCAGTGAGGAGCAGCAAGGCAGAAATGCCAGACCTCCAGACCTGAGGGGTAGAGCCCAAGTATCATCTTCACCTCATTTACCAGTTCTGTGTAAATTAGGTGCTCATATGTCTGTCTCCCCCAGCAGACAAAAAGCTGTTCAAGGGCAGGACTGTGACTTTCTCACCATTGGATCTACAACAATACCTCAAATAATAGAAGACCAGAGGGCTTCATCTTTTCATAAAGTCATTTTCATATCAAAAGCAACATGTTAATCAAAACTGTCTCTAATAACCAATAAGCCAACCAACCGCAAAAAAAATTTAACAAGGAGGAAATTCTCTCTCTCTCTCTCTCTCTCTCTCTCACACACACACACACACACACACACACACACACACACACAATTTAAAACCCAGCTAAAATATCGCAATACAATATACATGAGTACTATAATTGCAAAAGGGTCTTGACAGTCAGTCCTAAAAGTGACTAGCCAGAAATCCAAAGCTTCATTTTCCTATGTTTCCAGTAAGTGAATTACCTCAGAGAGATTTGCAGAAGTTTCAACAGCACACTGTCTATCTGTATTGGGAAAAGCAGCAACATTGTGTATCTGGAGACCAAAGGCATCACTTAGGTTTCCATCAGAGCTGCTCGGAGAGGATATTCTCTGTCGCTTGGATGACAGGTTTGCAGGGAACTCACACTGTTGACATTCACCAAGACTTTCCTTTTTGGCTAGGTACACAAAACAAAATAAAAACAAAACAACACAGGCCTTAATATTTTATTTTACAGCATCATTTGAAAATTGTGTACATCCTAATTTTAGTAAAATTTAATGCTTGAGCCTAAATACTTTATCAATGAAAACTCTAGTAGTACATTTTTTATTCCAAAAGGGAAATCTAACTGAAAAGTATAAGAACATGACTGCTAAAAAGATAAAAATTTAATTATTAGAATTGACTTTTTTCAGACTTTAAAATGTACAAAGATATGCCAAGATACATTTGCAATTTTGATATAGTATCTCATTCTACTTTTAAGTTTAGAATGAAACCTTTTCTTTTGAACATTTTAAAGGATGTGGTTATGTTCTAATATTGGTTCTGCTTTGACCGTGTATGATTTTATGAAAAATACAGCCACAGTTCTTCCTAGGTACAAAAAGGGAATTTAATTGTCTACAGAACTTTAGTAATGATGTAAATAAAATATTTAAAAGCTCAGATAAAAACTGAAAAATAGGTAAGTTACAAATTACAGATACAAATGAGTACATCAGAGCAGGTCGTGAACTGCAGAGGTAGATGAACTTGATTTGTCTTGAGTAACAATGCCCTGCACCCAAGGAGGTGTTGAAATGTACTTGAAGATAGTTCAAGAAACCAAACAAAACCATTTGGAACCTTAGGATTATGGTGGTTACAGCAAGACCAAGATTTTGTCTAGTTCTGGTGTTTGAAATGCTTTGCAATTGGAAAATCAAAAGTGACAAAAAAATTACGGAAGATCCCACATGCTGCGGAGCGGCTGGGCCCGTGAGCCATGGCCGCTGAGCCTGCGTGTCCGGAGCCTGTGCTCTGCAACGGGAGAGGCCACAACAGTGAGAGGCCCGCGTACCGCAAAAAAAAAAAAGAATATGGCAGGCTATTAAGATGTCAGGTTGAACATATGTGTTTATAATATCAGGGTTGGGAGTTTGGTATTTATTTAAATGCTTGCCAAACTTAATAATAATCCTCTAAAAAAATCAAGGTTCGTGCACTCAAATCTACCACGTGCCCTATTCTAAAGATGAAATGAGCCCACTGGCTTCGACATTATAACACTTAGCACTTAATTGTGGCCACGTGGATACGCAAGACGTAGGCTCAGGAGTGCTTGATATTATATTTTTTCAAGAGAAACCAGAAATCCAGATTTTTGTGTGAAATGTCCCAAATTTTAAATGGTAGGCCCTATTGAAAATTACAGCTCTACTCAGAAAAGAATGTAGAAATACATCTTCATACTGAGCATGGTCTGAATAAATACTAAAGCCCCTCTTTCTACTCACTTGAGCCTGTGATCTTGAACTCTCCTTCCATCTCTGAGAATTCAGGACAGTCAGTCATTTTCTCGTTTTCCTTTATGGGGTGAAAAGCTGACTGGAAGGCAGATATTTGTTCTCTTAAAGAATGAACATTTCGATACAAAACAGGGCTGCCCTGTTAAAATACAGAAGCACAGAGCACGTTATAAATCAAACCAAAGACAGGCTTTTCGAAGAGCAGAGGTAATAAGTTAATAGAGCAGAGCCTCTCCTCCCGCGAACCACGCACTCTTGGCCTGAATATTCGGTGTCCAGCCACCATCTCCGTTGCTCCTCCCTCCTCCTTAATGTGAGCAAAGAGCAACAGCTACATGGGAAGTATAAATGCGGAGCTATAGGCTGGCCAGTACTGATACTGACAAGCCCATGGACCAGACAGGGGAAATCTGGAGGAGATGGAAAGCGCTTTAAAAAGGCACCCAGACAAAACACATCCCAATTATTTGAGGGCTTGACAATCTTTAAAAGGATTCTTTCTGGGGGTGGGGGGAGGGGTGGTTAAGGACACTCTTTTACAACTGAGAGTCCATAACCTGAGATAGCCTCAACAAATCAAATGTGA